CCTCAAACATTTCTTACAAATCCTTCAAAACTTAGAATTTACCCATGCAAAATTCCTACTGTGATCAGAGAAACTTTGATCGTGTAAACCAGGATTTACGGAAATTTCAGAGAGCTGAAAACTCTTACCTTTTTGCAAACTCTTTAAATCACTATACCAGTTCTGTTACATTAGTGTCAAGGAGAAATAAACGCCTGTGCACTGAGTGTGGCGGCAACAAAACTTCTTTCGTGAAACGTTCGATCTGTAAAGATTCTGCCTTCATGATTTCAAGAAGTGCGTTCGCAATAGTTAACGACTGAATTATGTACGGCGATGAAAACAAAAAAAGTGTTAAGTAAACCTAATCAAGCCTAAACTCGGAAATGACGTTCAAAATTTGCCCAGAAAATGTCCGACCAAAATCAGATTTGACACTCGGTATAACTTGGTCGGAAAATGTTCGACCTCCAACCGTTATTTCAGGCTCTGAAAGTGTACTCAGCTTTCCAGTTTCTAAATTTTCAATGGTTCAACAACTTCAACCGAATATTGTTCTTGTAGTTTTTGTCATCAGTGTTAGCTCAGTGAAAATTCATAACTCAAGGAATATTAGTTAAAGGATACATAATACGCCATAAAGAAAACTCTCAGTTTTCTTCTTTTATGATAACTTCGAGCATTGTTTAATCCTATCAGTAAATTTTTCTTCTTTTCTTTTTTCATTGCATGAAATTTTATCCACCCTCTGAAAACACATTAATTTATGTCATGTAGATTGAAGTGGAAGTTGCTTAGCATTGTGTATAGGTGAGATAGTGCCAGCATAGTACATATACTATGACTTTAAGTATGGACTTAATGGTACAATATGGTAAGGAATGGCACAGTATGGTATGGTATGGTACAGTGTATTGTATGGTGCAATGTGGTATAATGGTACAATATGGTGTGATATATTGTATGGTATGGTATGGTATGGTATGGTATGGTATGATGCAGTATGGTATTGTACATTATGGTATATGGTACAGTGTGGTATATGATACAGTTTAGTATGGTACAATATTGCATATGGAACAGTATGGTATGATATACTGCAGTATGGTATTGTACATTATGGTATATGGTACAGTATGGTATGTGGTACAGCATAGTATGGTACAGTATTGCATATGGTACAGCATGGTATGATGCAGTATGGTATTGTACAGTCTGGGATGGTACAGTATGGTATGATGCTGTATGGTATTCTACAGTCTGGTATGGTACAGTATGGTATGATGCAGTATGGTATGGTACAGTATGGTATGATGCAGTGTGGTATGGTACAGTCTGGGATGGTACAGTATGGTATGCTGCTGTATGGTATTGTACAGCCTGGTATGGTATAGTATGGTGCAGTATGGTATGGTACAGTATGGTATGGTACAGTATGGTATGATGCAGTATGGTATTGTACAGTCTGGGATGGTACAGTATGGTGCAGAATATGTTATGGTATGGTACAGTATGGTATAGTATAGTACTCCATGGTAAAGTGTGAAATGCTATGGTATTAAATGTGGTATTATGGTTAAATATGGTGATAAAGATCTATTAAGTGCAAATAAACACAAGCTGATGACTTGACTTACTGTAGACACATGAGCTTTAGTTTGTAATTATACAAGCTGTATGCTCGTAGGTACATCTCTGGTGTTGGCTGAAAATCAAATATATAATACATGTATATAGCAAATATTATATGTTATCATTAGTAAAAAATAGATACTCATCGCGTACACAGGATAAAAATAGGTACATACTGCGTACACACAAAAGACATGGATATTCAGGGATCCCTGTTTACTTACCTATTCATATATTCGTGTTCACAGATTGTAAAAACAATCGATTTCAAAAGAAATTAATTGGGCAGAACACAAATATATGAATATCTGCCCCCCAATTATCGATATTCTGGCGCCTCTGTTAATTTGAACTACAGTACTTTATCATGGACTGTAAATTAATTTACTGATTGACTCCAGCTATTTAAAATTTTATAACAAAATGTGGATATTCAGGCAATATGCTTGTCTGTCACATGGGCTGCACACCTCATAAACTTTTTGTGTGTGTGCCTCATGAATAAATTAATTCTGTGGCTAGCAAATAGGGAGAAAGCGCAAGTGACTGTAAATCTGTTTATTCTTAATTGTAAACAATATGGTATAGAAGTCTATTGTTTATAAAAAGTTTCATCAATTTTTCAGCACCTGTGAATTTTCATCTTCATAACACCACAAAACTTCTCGCCTTAACAAATGGTCTTTTGGCATGTTTTCTGCACTTACAAATGAATCCCTAAAATTTGGTATTGATAAATAAAGTGTCAAATTTCTAAATTAACAGTCGAGAAATGCACAACTATTGAATACAAAACCTTTTATCATACCATTGTAAGCTTTCCAATGCGTCGGGATTACTATTTAGCAATGAAAGTTTATCCACAACAAATTCACAGGCATCAGACGGACACTCGATAGCAAGGCCTGTTAGCAATGCCTAGAATATTAAAAGTTCAACAAATGGCCATTAATTAACCGCAAAAAATAAACAATTTCCACAACGAAACCAGAAATATAATACCTCAAAGACTTCTGGGAGCTTGTAGTCAAACAGGTAGTTCCGTAGTTCAGCGCTGCAGTTTTTTAAAGCCGTCATTTTGTAAAATATTTTAAAACTAATTCACTTTCGACCGCCATATTGTTTCCATCATGTTGTTTCCATGGCGACGACACAGAGCACCCATTTATATAAAGAGACAATTATGGACAAAGGAAGTTTTCGTATTTTGACCATTTTTTTATAAAAGATCTTAAAACACAGCATTTGCTTTAAGAAACATATAGATTTTGACAAAATATATATTTTTAATAAATATTGTATTTATTAAATAAATATACATAAATATATAAGCTTACTAAAGTCTAGTATAAACTGCCTTGTTTTGGCCTGAAGACAAAAGGGTTTTAGTGTAAACACTGTAACTATAAAAAGTATATATGTTCCCTGACCCACTACCTTCCAGACAGATTGAAGACACTTCATAGATTGAAGAAATGTCAGAGTTTTCATCTTCAGTAAAACCAAAATGATAACAGTTTATCATTGAATATTACCTATACTCCAGGGTGCATTTTAAGTGGCCTACACCGAAGATCTTCGGCGTGAGTTTGGCAAATTACAATACTATCTATAGTTAATATTGGCGTATCTTCGGCGTAGACTTTGCATGGAATGCACCCTGGCCTATACTAGTGGACTGCCTACAACTAGCAAGAATATAATGTTCCAGGCAAAATCTGAAATCAGGATTACTCATATTGAGTTTTTGGACACTCTCTGGTTCTGGCATCCAGAAAAACTCAATATAGATAAACCAGTCTCTAATTTAAATTACTGAATTAAGGTATAAATAATTATGATTCACTAATCATCATTAAATTATGAATTAAACTTGTGTTGAGCACAATGGGCAGATTGCTTTGAAGTTTTGCTGTAGCTGTCTAAAGCAAGTCACATGCATCAAATGTCCGCAAATAAATTTCTGACATTCACCCAGCGAGTGTAGATCTTCGAGGCATATCGGGCAATTTGAATTGGAACACTGTTCAATACATTTATGCGTTGAGCCAAATTTGAAGCAAATCCCACATTGATTGCAATGTCTATAGTTGTCTCTTCCACCAACACGGCATAGACCACATTCTGTACAATGAAATTGCCCTTTATCGTTGTCATCAAACAAGCGACATATCTCGCAATAATACAAGCCAAAAGTGATGAGACAAGAGCTACATTTGGGGGCAACAGCTTGTATATTTCCACATTGTAAACATTTGATTCTCTGCACAGTTTTTCTGTCTAATTCGTGGTCATTCTCCACAGCGTCATGGCACAGTCTACAGCGATATATTTTACTACAACATGGAGCAACCAAGGAACATTTCCTCACGTAATGAGGACAAAAATGATATGATAAATCAATCAAATCGTTTGCCATATTTTTAATTTTTCAATATTAATTTGTCGCCCGCCATGACTTTTGTTGTGTACCGGAGATCCGGTACCCTTTATATTTCCCGTATATCAAAAGTGTCTGGTACGTGTCTGTTTTTTTTACTCCAAATTTTCAACAATAAATTAACATTTTTCACCTTTAGAAGCAAAAAGCTATCTTCATGCCCTTAAAGTATTAATTTAGCTTCTTACTACATCATTTTGAGTTCAAAAACTAGTCCACAACATGCCCAACCTGTCCATACACGTACACCCATATTAGGCATATTAAAAATCCAATTTCATAAAAAATAGCTGTCAATTTTGAATGTTTTAAATTGCATATAAGAACTGATTTCTACCCCTAGTGTTGCACTTTTTTGGGTGACTATGCTAAAAACCTACTGTATTCAGATAAAAAAATGTGCAAGAATTTACTCATTTGAAATTTAAATTTTTTTTGAAATCGTATATGGGTACCGGAAGCCGGGGTCAGTTTCAAACTTGATTTATATATGATATAAACAATAAATATACATTTGATATTCTTTCATGAAATCAAGGATAATGGACGAATCGATCGAAGTTCAAGAGGGCTTCCTTTGTCCTCTATGTATGAAAGATTTAGGGACACAAAAACTACTACAAGCGCATTTTAGTGACGAACATTCTAATATCGAAGACCCGACAAAGGGGCAAAATATCAAAGGCATTTTTGATAAAGCGAAACGTAAAATATTGGGAAAAGGCGAGGAAGGGTTAGAACAAGGCGGTTATGGCAGAAACGAAGAATTACAAATGCAAACTGCTGGGAAAGAACTTGATTTCTCGTATTGGGAACCACAAGAAATAGGTAGGAAAATATTGATATGTTGGTAGGTGATATGTTATTGCGTGACCACACCACCTGCAGGGGAAACCCAAACGTACCGTCATTTGCTTCTATAAGAATGAATGTAAACAAATAAAAACATTGTCTATGGTCACGTGAAACTTTCATGTTTATCACGAACATTTGGCAGCTTTCAATTTAACCAATCAACTGTCAGCTTTCAATCAGCTAGTCATGTTTAATTAACCTCACATTGATTGGTCGAGATAATTGAAACATATACCTTGCCAATTACAATTACTGATATGAGAAAATAGGCATCTACCTACGACTGTTCACCCAATAGTAAATTTTGCATCCTCCAATATTTTAAGGCTTCACCCAAGACCACACAAATGAATTCCGTCGATCGAGAACTCAGACAATTGATGATGTGATGATTGAAACAAACACAATTCTTATAAGACTAGAGAAGGTATAATTATGAAGCAAAGTTTTTAAATGAAAATTATGTAATCATCGATTATTATACTAGACAAAAGATCCTTGCAGACTGTCGAGTATTTTCTGTACGTTTTATTAGATTCTTAACGCACTGACTGATGCAGACGAATCCCGTTCACTCAGCAATTCCAAAAAGAAAGGTGACTACCATAAACTTCTTTCTGCAAATTTCATGTAATAAAGCCAACTAGAGAATGTTATCAACTCAATTTGAAAGAATAACCACCATTGGGTAATTTTTAGCCAAGGAGCAGAGTATGGTACCGTGGATATCAGATGACGATGCCAAGTTGTGTTTTGGTTGTAAGAAATCCTTCACAATTGCAAGACGAAAACATCATTGTAGACTATGTGGTCAGGTGATTTGTGGAAAATGTTCAGAATTTTTACCTCTTAGTTCTGCAGGTAATTTCAGGTGATCTGATCATGAGTAGTTCTCTTCATCAGATTTTTAGCCAGGGTGTCAAAACTGGCCGTCCAAAAAATACCGTGGTTCATGAACATGGTAAAAAAAACATGGAGCTTGAAATCAGTGGTGATATACTCATAATTCAGCATCTTTGCTTGTAGAATAGATAAATAACAGCTGACAACTTTTTGGGTATTCACGAAATATCAAAGCTTGCAAGTTGCTGTTTAATAAAGAAAACAGTTCCATGGCCGTCTATTAAAAAGTGCCGTCTTATTTTAAAAGTGGCTATAGGACGGCCACCTGGTTAAATGCCTGCTCTTCATTCCATCTTTTCATCCTTCTTCCGCTTCTTCCATACCCGATCATCTCTTTCTTCATTCATCCTGCCTGTCTTTCTCCTTCCTTCCTGTCTCCTTCCATTTCTTTTCAATTATCATACAACTACTACACTCACATATCATTATCATGATATTTAGCAACATTTTGTGAAATGGACGGCGCTCAAGATGTTATTTTGAGCCTGGATGATGACGAAGCAAACCAGAAGAATGCACTGCGTGTTTGTTATCAATGTCATGACTTGCTTCTAAAGTATGTAATATATCAACCTAAACTAATCTAACTTTATTTATACTGAATAGCTGTGCTAAATTAAATTGTTCTTCCTAGAGATCTAGTAATGGTTCTTACTTAGGGGTGAGCAAAGACAATGAGGTGCTGATGTGGTTTGAAAATTAAATGCTTTATTTGTAGAAATTATGAAATAAAAAGACAAAAGAAGAAAAAGACTCCATTGGTTCAGCTTTATGAGGTAAGAGATGGTGTATTTATACACATACGTACTATGCCAAGTTGTACAGTACTGAATATCAAATTCTTTCGTAGAAACTAACAATGTTAATGGCCGATGCAGATCTTCTTCTACCAGATTTTAACAAGATGGCTGAATCACTTAGGTAACAGTATATTAAACACATTATTCCCTTGGAGTATCATCTCAGATTAGACAGATAAATTAGGAAAGTACAAATTGGCATGTTGGGGCACCTTGTGGCTTAATTTTTTATTTTCTTTATCAGTTTTGGTGATACTCGATATACATATCAAGAAGTCATTGCTACAAGACTTAAATTACTCAAGATGTACGAGACATTAGAAATAGTCAGGTACGATGCAAATTACAATGTCAAAGAGTCTCATATTTTTTTCCATCATGTTAAGGTTTGCCGTTGCTTTCAATGCATCCATGAGGAATAATATATCTACATAGCAATATTTTGTAGTAATAACATGTGTTGCTATGCTAAGCATTGTACGTAGTCCTAGCTCAAGACAAAAACGTTTGGTTGATATCTGAAGTGTCAGAATTAATACTTACAATCTCCTGTATCTTATAGCAAAAAAGTCGTTGCCCTTGGGCAAACAACGACGACAGCTGAGGATGGCACAACCAAGACGGTCATGCCTGGAAAATCATCACAAAAACTCCAGCGAGGCATTCATGCTTACGTAACAAATTACTTACAAAACAATATGTTTACTCTCAAATCAATCCCATCTGAGGAAGAGTATGCGTCACTTCAGAAAGAAAGAGCCATGTTGCTAAAAAGACGTGCAGAACGCGAGAAAGCACAGCAGGAGAAGGCGATGAAGGAACGAGCTTTGGTGCATCAGGAGGTTTTACGAAAAGAACGACATTCACTTCAAAACTCACCGGTTATAAGACGTCGGGAAATGAATGTAGAACAAAGAAGGCGATCATTTGACCCTCAAAGTGATGCAATCTTACAACAAATAGATAATGTCAAGGATTTTCTTGACAAAGCGAGGGAAAATGGACAGTTTGATGAAGTTAGGTCTTTAGAAAGAAATTTAAATGAATTACAATTAGAATATAATAAACGAATTAAAAGATAACTAGTTGTGTCAAGCTTCACCGTGTTGTGGCAATATAATACTGTAATAGATATATGTATAAAGTATTCACATGAAAATTATTAGTCTTGCATTCGCTGGTTGTTCCAACATCAGATATACTTTGAATAAGCATTCTATAGATGAGTTTCAGTTAGCACTTGTCAGCTGAAAACCTGTGAAGTTCACACCCACCAGCAGCCCTGCAATTCACCTTGGAAGTCCTTACATCACGTCACTGCCAAACAATGAATATTTGACCATGTATTCCACATTGCATTAAATATACCTATCGATTGAAAATTGTGTGACGTAAGAACTCCTAGGGTCAATTCTTATTGAAGCGAACCAATATCATACACCTCGGTGTATTACCCAGAATCCTTTTCACCTTTAACCTGCCACCATTTTGGTTTATTAGCGTCGGGCAAAGCAGTCCTTGACGGGCACCCAACTTGACCTGGTTTTTCACAAATACAATAGCAATGTCCAAACCTTCCAAAATTACTTGGGTTTAATCTTGCCGGATATTTTGACTGTTTTCCAACTATTTCTTTCATCTCACTGCAAAAATACAGCAGCGTTAAGGTCTGACGGAACACACATGCAATTCTATAGCTCAGATTAGTTCACAGAGGCTGTGTACTCGGCTAACATCCTACGTACCTTTCCGAGGCCCCAGCAATGTGTTGGAACATTGAAAATATCTCACTTGCTTTTGAATCATCAACATCAATATTAATTCTCTCACGTTTACCTTACAGAAAAAGTTTATTTAAATTAATAGTTTCAACATACAGGAATAGTTCCAAATATTATCATTAAAATCTACATCAATAAATACCATTGTTTACACCTAAGAACCAGTGCGGAAAGTTTATATTGCGCAACCAAGATATCAGGCATGCAATTTCTATATATTTACTATGAAATCTCGGATGTGCAATTTTCAAACTTTCCAGTCATGCAGGGGTAGACGTACCAAAGAAGACGTCAATCCTAGGTGAACTGACGGCAGCACTTTTACTCGTCACAAATTGAACGTCGGGATTTTTGTACTGCAACTGTGGAACATCTTTGAATATAAAATTCCTACAAGGAAAAGAACCAATTTTCTTCAAACACAGCAAGTCAGGGGGGGGGGGGCTCAAGCAGTCTTACAAGATAATTTTTGCTCACCTAATTCCTTTACTGTTGTCCTGATGTGAATAAGAAAGCAAGACATTTTTTACACTAGGTTTTAGCACTACTTTCCCACTAGATAAAAATTCTACTGTCCTTCGGAATGGATATCTTCCCTTAGCCATTTTGAAAATACAAATTTTAAAACTTCACAGCGTACATGAAGTACTGCGAACGTGCGTATAAAATGCAGGCTCAACGCTCACTAAAGTTTCTCCAGAGTCTGCATAAATTAAGAAAGTCGCGCGCGCGGGAGACTGTGGCGATTTGTTTACTTCGAAACAAAAAATTTAAATGGAACCAGTTTTTAGTTTAAAACATCTTAATGGTGGGAAAAACAAGGCGAATAATAATTCTACCGATACTTCTGCCTTCCCTGCCACTGCGTATGATTATCTAAGACATGTACAGTGAGTAAAATGTGCAAAATATATTAATTTTTAAAGTGGCTTGGTATTTTCAATGACCCTACTATAATTTTACCATCATTTATGGTAACCTTGAATGCGGCCTAGCTACCTCGTTCTTTTGTGTAGAAATGAAGCAGCACATTGTCCTGATATTGTGGTCGCCAGCATGGATTGCAGTGTCTTCAGTGCAAACCAAGATCCCAATTTTATGACAGTAAGCTACGGTTGAAATGAATTGCAAATAAATTATAAACAAATTCACAATCCAACTTGTAATCTAGGCAGAGCCAATCAAAACATCCGAGGACAACAAAGGGCCATCAGCAGAGTGGCAAAATGAACAAGTTTCTGCTTTTGCAGAAATCAGACAGGTCGGTCAATAACTACCTGGAGTGCTTGCCTGGAGTGCTGGTGATCATTCATCTTCCTCTGTCCTCATTTCCAATTTGTTCTGAGATGCATAGATTTAGCCCTCTCTGTCTTCAGTTTCTAGCTCATCAAAAAGCATTGCTAAAGGAGAAGAAAGTTAAGAAGAGAAAGTTGGTTAGTTTGGTTGCCATTCACTTTGTATTAAGTAAACCAGGGATGGGAGGGTTCTGAGCAGGTGCTGGTCATGGAGTAGGTGCTGGTCATAGAGCAGATACTGGTCCTGGAGCAGACAATGGTAGTTCAATCATCTTCTTCCCTATTATTGCAGCCTGATGCAGAAAATGAACAACAGTGGTTCCAGCTTTGCTTTGGAAAAAAACAACAAACAACAACTGCCCAATGGTAAGACTAGCTAGACAGACACAGACAGACAGACAGACAGACAGACAGACAGACAGACAGACAGACAGACAGACAGACAGACAGACAGACAGACAGACAGACAGACAGACACCATCACACAGACACCATCAGATAGATAGATACAGTGGAAGGATCCAAACACCTTTTGTTGTATTTTTGCAGCAAGAGAGAAACACAAGACACTGTGTCAAGTATTCAAACTGAAGTGGTATAATGATTGTATGGTTGTATATAACTGCCATAACCTTGCTTCATTTATACAAACAATGAAATGTACAGTATGTAACATGTTATTTATTTCAGGAGCATAGTGGTGGTACTCCAGCTCTTTTGAGTATCATTTGTCAAATGAATCAGGTAATAACTCAGTGAATGAAAACATCATGAGTGAAACTAAGATATATCATTATTTCTTTCTGTGTTTATTTTTCTACTGTAGTCAACAGTGTTAACAGTATTGGATCATCATGTTGGCTGGTTGGAAACACAACCATTCACCTTGTTACAGGTTTGACAGCTTTAACCCATTAATCCTTTAAGTGGTAATGTGCCCTGAGCATCCTACTTTAGTATTTTACTCTGTCTAATGCCAGATTATTTCACTTGTCAAGGAGAGAGTGCTGCTACTCAATGGGCTAATGCATCCTCTTAATCATTTAAGTGGCCATGCATCCACTCTGGTTGTGCCATACTTTATTATTTTAATACTCAGTCTAACACCAGGCAATTTAATCAGCAAGGGGCGAGTGCTGCCACTCAATGCATGGGTTAACCATTATTTAACCAATTACTCAATGGTGAAAGACAGTATACACTCATGCAATCAAGTGTTATTTATTTAGGGTCAATGGATACATGCATTACTCACCGCTGTTGAGAAGCCTCTCCTTCCCGATACAACGTACTCCCTGCGGAGATTAGCAAGATTGTGTGCAAAACAAAAAGAAAGTTTGGTTAGTTGGAATTCTCATGGACTATTTTCATAGTTGGAATTCTCATGCACAATTTTATTAAATGGACTATTTTCAATCAATCAATACATTGATATATGTAATCAATACAATCACCATCCATCAACCACCTTTGGGATTGGTTAAATCATCTGGCTAAAGCCACCCTAAAACGTTCATGATTTCTATTTGTTTAGACTCCAGAACAGACGGACGAAATGGCTGCGTTGTATTTAATAATTATTTTAGTTATGAGGTGCGTACTTTGATGTTTTCGCGAGGTCCATCGCTAGGAGATTAATATTAAGCAGAACTTACTGCTGATGAAAGGCCTTCTTTGGAATGTCAAAGTGTTTTTTATTTTATTTAGATCTCTTGTTTGTATAACTAACAATCTTTTTTTCCAGGTATTTTGGACAGAGTGATTTAGCAGAAACATTATGACATTTCATCACTTGAAGACAAAGCTCGCTTAAACATCCATGTGAAAATATATTCAGTCACTTACCTCTGACACTTGAGCTTTGACAAGTTCTAAAGCAGAAAAAACTAACCTTCTTGTACAAAAATGAAATATTATCGCCATTAATAATAAAACTTTGCTACTTTTAATAAAGACTGCAATTTGCTGTATCTATATATAATTCAAAATATTGTTAAATAAAAACTATATTTTGAAGGCATTTTGAAGTATATATATGTATTTTATACACATTGTAATTTACAAAAAAATCTTAAGTCTGGTGTACATTATCAAAGTTTCTGTGATCACAGTAGGAATTTTGCATGGGTAAATTCTACGTTTTGAAGGATTTGTAAGAAATGTTTGAGGAAACCTCAGCATTTAACATTTAGAATTTACCGAATGCAAAATTCCTAGTGTGATCACAGAAACTTTGATAGTGTAACCAGCCAGTCATTATGGTGAGATCACACACACACCACGTGAATACATGTACAAACTTTACACGGCTGGAAGATGTCAAATTTTTATGATGTCAGCAAGATTTTCTTTTGGTTGAGTCATATTGTCTGGGAAGTATGTCACAAGTTGATCAAATAACTAGAAACAGTAAAATACAGTAACTCTATCAGTTCAGTGTATAAGCTGTTCTCCCTAGAGGGCCAGTAAGGTTCATCCTTTGTTCCAATGATTATTAGACCACAGGAGAAAACCAGAGAAAACACACGTTGTCTGGTCAAACTGCATCAGAACTCTTCTCACATGAAACTGAGGTAATACTAGTGAGGTTGAGATTCCACTTCCACTATTGCTACCCAGGGCCTTTTTTAAGGATTTTCCCGTGGGGGGGGGGGCATTTTTTGAAAAGGGACTTTTCTGTGAGATAATATATTAGAGGGGGATAGCAATGGCTGAAGGCTACGTGTGTGGCCAATATACCACGCATGAATGGGGGTGGTCTGGGGGAGTACTCCCCCAAAAAATTTTTGAAATTTGAATCCCAGAAATGTCATTTCCTGCATTCTCAGCATCCAAATTTGTTCTAAAATTTATGCTAACTATACTTGTATTTGAAATAAAAGATGGAAAATATGCACAAAAAGTAAAAAAGAATATTAACTGTAATTTATCATTACTTATTAGAGGGATAATCCCCAGAAAATTTTTGAAATTTGAAACCTGGAAATGCTATTTCCTGCATTCTGAGCATCCAAAAAATAAAAAATTATTAACAATAATTTATCATTACTTAGTGGTAGAAAAAAGTAACAATTTAAATCGATTTTGTTAAACAAGGACAAAGGATAAAGCCTAAAACTTACTTTCCGTTTATGTATTTGTTAATCTTCGCTGGTTTGTTTCTATAATTTTAGGGAAAAGGGACTTTTCCTGGGGGGGCAAAATGTGATTTCGTGGGGGGGCACAAGGGGGGACTGGGGGGGCATTTGCCCCCCCCAGCTTGTATGTTAAAAAAGGCCCTGTTGCTACCATAAAGGGACCATGGACTAATCAGATGGGTTTAATCTACCCGATCAACCAATCACATGCGAACTTAGTGAAAGGTAGTGAAAGTCAAATCTCCACCTCACTGTTACTGTATAAACAGAAGACTGTATATACCTGAGAACGGCCAACAAATACTTGGTCATTTGAATAGAATTCAGCTCCTGTGAAAGAAATAATAGCAAGGTTCTAAGCCTAGTGCATTCTACGTAAATGCATACATAGTTATGTTGAAGGGTATTGTAGATGGAAATAATCGAGTGGAAATTTATATAGTACATTTCTTTCGTTTTATTTTAGCTTTTGCCAACTAGGGCAGGGTCACCAAAACAGCATATGCCAATTACTGTGGGCCCTTTTACCTAACCCACCCTGTCAACTTTCCCTGTGGGAGGAAACCGGAGTACTCGGGGAAAACCCACAGCTTGAACCTGCAACCTCAGAGGTGAAAGGTAAGTGCTCTAACCACTTCACCACCGAAGCCCCATAAATAACCTAACCGGGAACAGCTGCGAAAAATGGAACTTTAGGTCCCTGGAAGGAATAGAACCTGCGGGCCTAACACATACATAGTGACTACGTTACATTCAAGGTGCTCACCTTGCTTGCTTGGGCATGCGTCATCCGTGCCGTCTTTTGAAGAAAATAAGCTGGATGTTAAACGCTCAAACTAAATGAAAAGACGCAGATTTAGTTATTAGACAAACTAACAGGAAATCATCAGGCTTGGTTTGTTTCCAGAATTATATCACACTTGCGTCGGTTTTCTTTGTTCGTCCGAGGTTTATAACTAGCTTATAGACCTTGAATAAATGATTAGATGAAACTTGTAGACAAAAACGCGAGAATTTTTCATTAAAAATGTTTGAAAATGACAAAATATGTTGGAAAACCTCCGCAAGTGTGATATATATCAGTTATAAACCTCCTACTCGGTTTATAACTCTTACTTATTGCGGGTATAATAGGTGTTAAAGACCTGTAGTTTGAATTGTGCTATACCTCGTGTCTTTCATCGAGATCCTCATGGTTCACCATGGTTGAAAGATCATGCTAAACAAAAATATAAATAAAAGCTTCATCGTAGCCTTAAAACGAGTTTCTGTGGCGCAATCATCGGCGCTTTCACGTTGGAGATCGTCAGCCAGTGAATCTATATACGTGATATAACTTATGTGCTTACTCCTACCCCAGGACAACATAAATTCACAAAGTACGACCATAGACAATCCATGTCCTCTGGCACGTTTGATTGTACCTGTAAATAAGTCAACGCTTCCAAACTGTTACATTTTGCCAGTTGAAGAAACCTTAAATTAAATGACACTAATTAACTATCAATAAATATCACAAATTAACTACATTGAGACTAATTAACTATCAATAAATATCACTAATTTACTACATTGAGACTAATTTTACTATCAATAAATATCACTAATTAACTATAATGAGACTAATTAACTATCAATAAATATCACTAATTAATTATAATGAGATTAATTAATTATCAATAAATACCACTAATTATTTACAATGACACTAATTAAATATCAATAAATATCACTGATTAACTACATTAAGACTAATTAACTATCAAGAAATATCACTAATTAACTACATTGAGGCTAATTAACTATCAATACATATCACTAATTAACTACAATGAGACTAATTAACTATCAATAAATATCACTAATTAACTACATTGAGATTAATTAACTATCAATAAATATCACTAATTAACTACATTGAGGCTAATTAACTATCAATACATATCACTAATTAACTACATTGAGGCTAATTAACTATCAATACATATCACTAATTAACTACAATGAGACTAATTAACTACAATGAGACTAATTAACTATCAATACATATCACTAATTAACTACAATGAGATTAATTAACTACAATGAGACTAATTAACTACAATGAGACTAATTAACTATCGTGTAGAAATGAAGCAGGCTTACTTCTGTTTTCTAATAAGATACTTGCAACGCCTCAGAAAATGTGCAAGTAACGGTTTCGTGAGTTTTAAAGACCAGAAATCGTCCAGTCTCATCTTTGGAGAACCAGATTTGCCAGGATTCCCACCAAATAAATAATGAACCTAAAAATCGATTAAATTCATGAGGGAATTAGCCAATAATACTGCTAATATTTTGGTCACATGATATTAAATCTGAGTTATTTAATCTCGAGTAAACAGGGTGTGGTTACTGAATTCACCAGAGGCTCACGATACATGCGCTCGACAACTAAGGCCTAGAGCTAGTTTCTGGAGAGCAAGAAAATGAGAGGAGCGGAGAAAAGTCCTTGAAACACAAGAAACTGAGCACTAGGAAGATGGCGGCGTACTGATGACGTATCACCAAATGACGAATAATCACGCGAGCGACACTCGCTAGGAAGATGGCGACCGTAGGACAACGTTTTTACTGAAGTTACACATCTGTTCATACTTAATCTGTACCTCGACCTACACGCGTAAAAACGCTCAGGTTGATGCAATACTGATGAAAACAGGATTGAACAATGTTTTGCTGCCCACATTGTTCATAGCTGTCAACAATATTGAACAATATTGTTACACCCGATTCAGGCTCAACAACGTTGTTCAATATTGTTGACAAGTGTGAACAACGTGGGCAGCAAAACATTGTTCAGTCCTGTTGAGCAACGGGCTCGGCGTTTTTTGCCGTGTACAGTAGAAGGCTTGACTCAGCGGTAAGGGACAACAGCTGCAGCTGCCAGCGATGCTATCCTTACCTTATTAACATAATCATAAACGAGCTGATGAGCAAACCTAGGACAAGGTTCAATACTCTGCATTTTGCTCCAATATTGACTGCCAGTATTTTCATTTCTATAAATACACGACCATTTATTGCTTTCAATATCATAAACCCAGAACGAATTTCGTGTAGATTCCTCGCGTTTGATTTTGTCTTTACTTAAACCCTAAAATAAGAAAAGAAATTGGGGATGCATGATATATATGTACGATTGAGGTGAAAGGTTGCAAACAGACAAAACTTACAGACAATGCATGTATTTCTCCGGTCTCAGGGTCAATTGTTGCTCGTTGGGTGAAGCCTGCAGCTGGAACTACGAAAGTAAGATCACGTTCTAATTACTCAATTAATTATGATTTAATATGTTACAGTATATATAATTTGATACAATAATTTAATGATTAATTACGGATTGTGCAATAGACAAGTAAATTTTTTATTCTCATGTGTACCTTCGTTTTTATCGTTTCCATTTGTTCCAGATAAGACAGTGATTGTGTCAGTATCGGTATCATACCTCGTAAAATTACTGCAAGGTAAAATAAGCATGTGAGTCAAACCAATTCACAATTTCAGTTTACACTCTATTAGAATAACTTGAACAAGAGGACGGTACCTTAAAAACTCACGTCCTCTTTGACCAGCAAATATATAAAGTGCTCGGTTTTTCTACAACAAACACAATTACAATTTTTTACAATTTATTGAAGTTGCGCATGTCATATAGATTATTTACAAAAGTGAAGAGTAATAAGGTTTTGGTGAGTAGTAGATATAAATTGGAGTTAATAATTCATTATGCCATGCGCAGTGGACAAAGTAGCATAATGCTTTCGAGTTGTCCACTGCCTACGATTTGCTACTAATGAGAACGGAGCGGCGCTAGAACGAATTCACAACTGTATATACTCTATAATTACATTTGAGTTAATAGGAGCGATTGCTTATAGTGTTTCTTAAACAGATAGGATGAGCTACAGACAATGCAAATGCATGAAATCCATTAAAAACACATAATGGATGGAATGAAGGCGCAGGAATCAATCGTTGGAATTTATACCCTAATGTCCGCAACGGCCTAACAACGTGTTGGCCAATTGTGTACTACCCTATATAATGTCACGTTCTAATTTCCCATGATCAATACAAAAGATACTGACCTCGTAAAAAAGCATGGAATGACCAATTCTTGAAACTAACTCAGGGCGGTCATCCCTAGACACGGAAAAATTATCTTAACTCTTGAACTGACATTGCGACCAAAATCGTCCGCCCACCACCGTTAGACAGATTAAAATAACAAAGTAGGGCAAACGGCCGACGATTTTAATTTACTTGATTTTTTTTCTGTGAAAAAATCATGATTATTAGATTACATTGATCAGGAAAAAAAATCATGATTATTAGATTACATTGATATCGAAGGAACTAAATTCTGTTTCGAAATATCGCATACTCGAACCGACCTGACCGCGTAGTTCAGTTGGCAGACAGGCAGAGCATTGGGCTAGTATTCCAAAGGTCGTAGGTTCGATTCCCACCGTGGTCAGGCATATTTTTCAAGTCTGCCCGGTGTGGATATACACTCAGAGTAACATCACAAGCATTTAATTTACTTGTTAAGAGGAAAGTGATGGCGTTCAATGGGTTAACGAGATAAAAACAGAGAATATTAAACTGTACCGTAATTTTGTCCATGTGTTGGTACCACTGTGATAGCAATACAGACCACTGAAGACAGCAGTAGTTGCCAAACCAGCTATGTCAGATGATGTACTACAGAAATAGATTAATATCATGCAATCTTAACTCGCTGCTAACTTTATTGTTTTGATAGGAATGCACAAGAAAAAAGTTGAACTCACTTGGATAAAACTCGTCCTCCAAATATATATATCATTCCATTCTCAACATTTACGCACATCTGAAATCATTAGCGTACATTATCACTGGTGAAAATGTAAAATCCATACTATGAGATTTCCAATTGCACAACTAAATTCATAGTAATTCAGGGATGCATAAAATATTTTATTTTCTGGGACCGCAAGGCCAACGAAAAAAAATTCTACAATTTGGGGGCTCTCCATCACTCTTCCGTCAACAACAAAAAAAGTTTCCGGACAAGGACGTGTTCATTGTTTTCGTGGGACTTTCCCACTTAATTTCACGTCGCTACGAACGGTACTCTGCCCGAAAAACATAAATATTTTGCCGGGGGGCCCCCCAAAGCCTGGGGCCCTGGGAAAATTGCTTTACCTTTTTCTGCCAACCTCAAAAATTTTCTGGGACCAATGTTCCCGTGGTCCGCTATATTATGCAGCCCTTCATAATATATTCATACTATTTCGATACCATATACATAGTATGGAAATATACAAATTTCCAATAAAAGCCCATACAATTCCCATTCTATTGGATTTTCAAAAAAATTTTTGCAGTGTATTTTACCATCAATCCTATCATCTACCCACAAATACACACATCTCTACTGTATATTTAGTCCCTTCCTCTCTAATACCTCAATGAAATAACGCACCTGGAAAAAGCCCCGCGAAGATGTCGTAAAGAAGTTACGACAAAAGATAGGAAATACGTGATATTATTCGTTTTGGTGTAACTACCTGATGGTCAAATATCAATGGGGGTCCACCATCAGGCGCGGTATCTTCAGATATCAATGTCCACTGCTCACAATCGATATTATATACAAAGAAATCACTCTGAAAAATAAAGCAGCACTTATAAACTCCATGTCATCCAATCATGAAGTAGTGAACGGAATGTTCCATTGTCTTTTCATTCTTTTAGAAATCCAATGGTCCTCCATGCCACCTGGACATGATCCAGTTATCAGAATGTTCCATTGTCTTTTCATTGTCTTGAAGATCCCACTGTCCTTCAAGCCCCTGGACGCGAACCAGTGATCAGAATGTCCCATTGTCTTTTCATTGTTTGAAAAATCCCACTGTTCTTCATGTCATCTAGTGATGGGAATGTTCATACCTTCAACGACATCGTACTTCGAACTTCAGAATCAAGATAACGCCCTAGCATGAAGATCAACTTTCGTTTATGATCCAGGCAGATTTTATGACACGATCGTGCACAGGGGCCCCCATCTGGTTCCGTGTCACGTGATATCATTCTCCATGATTTCTGGTTGATATCGAACATCCAGAAGTCAGCGAGGTCATCGTTTCCGTCCCAGCCTCCCATGAGGTAGATAATCTGGCGCTCTGCGTCAATACACATTTGATGACCACCTCGCATTCCTGGCTGACAAGCGTCCGAATTTATATCTAGAATGAAAGTCAATGACACAATTAGAATTAGCAAGACTACCAACTTTCTGATTAAGGGTCCTCGCATGACAACAGAGCGCGAATAAGTTCTTTGTATCTTTTTCTTTCCACAAACAAAACTATTAGAGCGCGAATAGTCTGTACTGTTTATTACTTTATTGCAGTCTTGCCCCTATGGCCTCGGCTTCACGTGGTTATATCATCATGTTTCGTGTACAAAGGGTTAAGGATAGGTTTGTGATTGGGCTCAAGATGAAAGAGAAACATGTTCACGTGCAGGAAACATGGGGATATAACCTAATTCATATGCGTTTGTCATGATAAAACAGCCAAATAGGAAAACGAGGCCATTGGGACAAAAGTGGAATAAATAATAGTCTATTAAGAATTTTTTCTGGCCTACAATTATTTTCAAAAATTCTACGCTACACTATAGTTTCACTTTCATAGCGATAAGTTGCTAGTGTTTTGGCCCACAAAACTGCGTTTTCGCATGACGATTTGTGATTTGTAGGCAGTTAATTTGCGCCCTGCTTGAAACGTATGTGTACCTCTAGTTTTGGTCATCTACCTGAAACAGTTGTTGTTATTGGCGTCCATTTTGCTTTGTAATCTTGCGTACTTATGTAGTCACTGAACAAGCCATCTAAACGACAAATAAAATTGCATTTGAATCATAACCTCATGAAAGATACAATCAATGAAATTATACACACACTACCTTGAGCAGCGTTCTCAATTATTCGTTCTGACATATCAAAGTTTGAATGAACAACCTGTTAATTTAGATGGTTTTTTAATAGATGGAAGTTTTCAAATTAAATTTTATACACCATCAGGGGTGGAAAAATTTGTTTTCTTTCCGGGAACCTGGGTCGAAGTCTGGAAATTGTCTGTAAAATTTGCAATGTTACAATTACAAAAATAACAAAACAAATGCATAATTATTGTATTATTTGTACTTTAGTAATAATAGGCTTTAGGCTGGTTTTCGTATGCTCGTACATAGCAATAGTTGTCTGTTATATACCACAGTTATGAGTTATGACCAATTAGTAAGGATCTAACGCTTAACTAAGTGTCCTATCATCTTATTTATTCCATCACTTTTATTTGTTTACTATTTAATTTGCATTTTATTGGAGACTTTGCAGAGCATATATTTACCATTTTACCTTATTGTGATGGCAGGGGTGGGTAAAAGAATTAATTTCTGTCAAATATTTAAAAGGTTGCTGATGTTAGCGTGTAGTAGAATAGTTGTAACTTGTAAGTTGAGTAAACAGAGTTATCTCAAAATGTTGAAATATTTTCTGGAAAATTTTCTGCAAAACTCTCAACTCGAAAAAATTTCTGGGAACTAGGTTCACAGGTTCCGATACTTTTTCCACCCCTGTACACCATTATATGCAACTTTAGGCCCTCCGCCAGGAATCAAACTTGGTATAGTGGAAGTCAAATCTAAATCTCAGTGTTATCACCAAGTTTTCCTTACCAGCTGTTCATGTAATTGAGTCAATATTGAATGTTCCAATTCAACCTTCGTCTTCTTCTTCAGCGAGTCAAAAGCCTCGGTACAGTTCCGTTGTCGAAGATGTTTTAAACACAAGCGTATTGCCTCCTGTTCACGATACTAAAAATAACAATCTCATTCTCAGAATTCATGAGCAAAAAATAGCAAACAATTTAATTCAGTTCTAGAAATTTTGATCAAATCATCACAAGACTGAATAGCGTTTCGATATAGTTGATCAAGTTCTAGAATTTTGATCACATGTTTTCAACAGATAAAGATTAAATCGATCCAAAGAAGTTTTGATCAAATTCTAGAAATGGACAGAGTTTGATCAGTTCTTGAGTCTGAATGAAAAGTAGTGGACAAGTTAAATGAACATGCGACTTACATTATTGATCCAGTTTGAACAAGGCTTAACAATAGCTGGGTCATCAATACCAGCAAGCTCTACATACCAAATACTACAGTTAAAACTCTGACCCCACGTCATGGTAGGAACTGTAAAGAAGTTGGTAGTTTAGATTTTTTAACAATAACATTTTAAGTGGCAATGCACCCAGATATACCCTTCTTTATTATTTTACTCTGTCTAATGCCAGATGATTATACTCATCAGAAAGAGAGTGCTGCCACTCAAAGGGCTAATCAGACTATCTGCCTATGCACCTTGTTAACCCTTTAAGTGGCAATGCGCCCCAAATACACCCTACTTTATTATTTTACTCTGTATAATGCCAGATGATTTTACTCATCAGGGAAGAGTGCTGCCACTCAATGGGTTAATATATTGGATGTGACATGGACTAATAACTGTCAACACTTGTGCCACCAACATCTATAAAAATTATCAAAAAAATAATTTACCTATTTTGATGTACTTGACAGGGAAAATATTTTCACCCAGTTTATGTCGTAATGGAAATATTTCTTTCACATTGTCATTTTTTAAACCACTAGAGAAGTAGAATTCACATTCTTGTTAGACAGGGTGGGGCTTATTAGAGATGGGAGATTAGAGAGGGGGCTTATTATAGAAGAGTTTAAGAAGAGGAACTTATTATAGGGGTTTAATAGAGAGGGGACTAGCTTATTAAAGAGGGAAACTGATTAGAGAGTGAAGCTTATTTAAGAGGAGGCTGATTAAAGAGAGGGCTTATATTGGAGAAGGGGGCTTATTAGAGAAGAGGCATTATTAGGGAATGGGGGCTATTATAAAAGAGGGGTAATTAGAGAGGAGGAGTAATTAGAGAGGAGGGGTAATTAGAGAGGAGGGTATTAGAAAGTAGGGGTAATTAGAGAGGAGTATTAGAGAGGAGGGGTATTAGAGAGGAGGGGTAAAAGAGAGGAGGGGTAATTAGAGAGAATGAGTATTAGAGAGGAGGGGTATTAGAGAGAAGCATTAGAGAAGACAAGGGATTTTGTGAGAGATAGATAGATAGACAGACACCTCTATTTATTCAGAGTAGTCCTATCAGCGACAAAAACATGTCACTGCTATCAACAGGAGCTCTGATATTACATTATAAGTTTCAACAACACTTTATAATAGTCATAGTTAAATTAAGGTAACATGAGGGGGGCATGTAAACTTGAGAGGGGGACTTACTTCAGACAGGGAGGGGCTTATTTGGCAGGGACACTTATTTGAGAGGGGGACATATTCTATGGCTATACATGCTACCTTTGCAGTAGTTCTATCATGTTGTTGTGGTCGTCATGTAGACTGCCATAAACTTTAAATTTCTTCAAATTACAAACATGGTTCTGATGATATTTTCCAAATGTTATTTTCGTCACTGCTGCTGGTTTTTCCAATTTTAGAGTTATGTACTGAAATGAGAAAATATTTTATGAATCTTCTCTTCCAGGTGGCTTTCATTGTTGTTGTTATTGCTTGTTGTTGTCATTGTTGTTGTTGTAGGTTGCTGTTGTTATTGCTTGTTGTTGTCATCAATTGTTGTTGTTGTTGTAGGTTGGTGTTGTTATTGCTTGTTGTTGTCATTACTTGTTGTTGTTGTAGGTTGCTGTCGTTATTGCTTGTTGTTGTCATTGTTGTTGTTGTAGGTTGGTGTTGTTATTGCTTGTTGTTGTCATTGTTTTTTGTTACTGTTGTTTGTTATTGTTGTGTTGTTGTTGTTGTTTGTTGCTGTTGTTATTGCTTGTTGTTGTCATTGTTGTTGTTGTAGGTTGGTGTTGTTATTGCTTGTTGTTGTCATTACTTGTTGTTGTTGTAGGGTGCTGTCGTTATTGCTTGTTGTTGTCATTGTTGTTGTTGTTGTTATTGCTTGTTGTTGTCATTGTTTTTTGTTATTGTTGTGTTGTTGTTGTTGTTGTTGTTGTTTGTTGCTGTTGTTATTGCTTGTTGTTGTCATTGTTGTAGGTTGGTGTTGTTATTGCTTGTTGTTGTCATTGTTGTTGTTGTAGGTTGGTGTTGTTATTGCTTGTTGTTGTCATTGTTTTTTGTTATTGTTGTTTGTTATTGTTGTGCTGTTGTTGTTGTTGTTTGTTGCTGTTGTTATTGCTTGTTGTCATTGTTTCTTGTTATTGTTGTTTGTTGTTATTGATGTTTGTTGTTATTTGTTGTTGTTTGTTGTTATTGTTGTGTTATTGTATTGTTGTTTGTTGTTATTGCTGTGTTATTGTGTTGTTGTTTGTTGTTATTGCTGTGTTATTGTATTGTTGTTTGTTGTTATTGTTGTTGTTATTGTTGTTTGTTGCTGTTGTTATTGCTTGTTGTCACTGTTTCTTGTTATTGTTGTTTGTTGTTATTGTTGTTTGTTGTTAATTGTTGTCTGTTGTTATTGTTATGTTGTTGTTGTTTGTTGCTGTTGTTTTTGTTATTTGCTGTTTATAGTGTTGTTGTTATTGTTGTTTTTTGCTGTTATTGATTTTGTTGTTTGTTGTTATTGTTTGTTATTGCTGTTTGTTGTTATTGCTTGTTTGTCACTGCTGTTGTTGTTTGTTGTTATTGTTGTTTGTTGTTGTTATTTGCTGTCATTGTTTTTGTTGTTTTTATTATTGTTTTTTATTGTTATTGTTTGTTTTTCACTGCTGCTGTTGTTTGTCGCTACGGTTGTTTATTGTTGCTGATGTTCCAGGTTGTCTTTGTTGTTTGCTGTTATTGGTGTTTCTATTGTTTGTTGTTGCTAATGCAGGTTGTTGTTTACTGCTGTGTTTTGTTGCTGTTGTCATTGTTGCTATGCTTCTTATTGTTGATGTTGTTGCATTTGTACCTGGTGTCACTATTATTATTACAAAGGCAAACCTGTGTAGGATGGTGTGTTTCAGACGTCCATCTGGAATTCTGATCATTTGGTTTGTCCTCCATTATATTACTATAAAAGAAAGATTAATCGTTTTCACATTAGAAGATGAACAAGTCGTCTAGACAAACAAATCGTCTTTTAGTCGGACAAATCATCAGATGTGAAAATGTGTCGAACAAAATTTTAGACAAACAAATCGTCTGAATTTGTTCAACTACTGGTCCGTCTGCGAAGACAATTTTTGAGGGACAATACGTTCGTCTAGAGGACTTGTCTGTCTGTAATGTGAATAGGGCTATTATTTCATTTACATTAAGTAAATAATGGTAATTATTTTCATTACATGTAGTAATCTTGGACTTAGGGATAAATAAAAATTCAACCATTTAAATTTTTAAGTAGCAATGTGCCCTAATGCTTCCCACTTTATTTATCAATACTGCAAAAATGCCTGTTTTCACTTGTCACAACAATATGCACAATTTATATATCAAAGAGTAGAATTAGTATTTCACGCACAGCCAGTTTTCGGTTTAAATGTACTTTCTAGTCTGAAATATACACGATTTATTTTTAATAATACACAGCAAATATTTTTACAAAAAACAAACGATTTCGATCTCTATAATTCAGCATATCTTAACCAAAAGTGTAAAAGGAGAATGTACTTACCCTGGATGAAAATTGGCAGAGAAACTCGAGCAGGAATAAACAGAATATTTCAATTTATGTTCCATATTTTCAACATTTATATTTTGAAAATTTTCAAAATCGCCCGACATCGCCGCCATCTTGCCTTCGTCCTCAGGCCCCAGTACACGCGGTTTCCAACATGGCCGCTTGCTGGCGAAAGTTGTTTAAGATTTCGCCACAAATACTGCGCGTTTCTTGCACGTTCTCTTCGGTATTTCAACCCAAAAACATTCTAGTTGAAAACTATAGATCTTTTTCTTCTACGGTGAGTAAAAACACGCGTTTTTATCCACAAGTTTCTTCATAAATCTAAACTAAAATCGTCTAGTAGTGGTAGACTGTTGTGCTATATTCATATTGTACAGTTGTATTCTAGTTTGTCATTGCATTGTTTGTGTAATTTAAGGTCAGGAATACGGCAAACAACAGTCTTTGCAGGATTCAAAGTCGATTCCCTTATCGTAATGGTATGCTTGCATTTTTTTAATGATTAACTATTAATTTCCCCCCTCAATTCTCAAAGCAGATTTCCACATATCACCATATAAACGCTCTCATTTTGTATTTTCTCTTTTTTCAGATAATATACCATTCACCAGCAACAACCAAGCCATTAAGCAACTCAGTTATCACACTCTATCCCCAAAGTATGCTGTGAAACCTACTCTACTTCTTCAAACTCCAGCCAAGACAAGCATTCGAACTTTTCCAACTTTGAATCAAATCCAGCGCGGAAAACGAAAGACGAAAAAACGCAAACAGAAATCGATGGTAGCCAAAGTTAGCCATATTCTAAAAGGGCCACAACGCAAAGGCGTGTGTGTGAAAGTCTTCATCCGTAAACCAAAAAAACCAAACTCTGCTAATAGAAAATGTGCATTACTAAGACTTAACAATGGCCAGACTATCATAGCTTACATTCCCGGGGAGAAGGCAAGCCTACAAGAACACGGTGTAGTCTTGTTTGAAGGAGGGAGGGTACAAGATTGTCCCGGGGTTAGGTATAAAATAATCCGTGGAAAATATGATGTAAATTAAAGAAAACTTTTTGATGTATCCAGTGTGGTTAATTTGTCTCTAATGGCCCAGTTTTAATATCGACATTTTTTATATTGAACTCTCTAAAGGTGAGTCAAAAACTCATTTTCCACTTGGCGAATTTGTTCGCGCGAAACGACTTTCCTTTGCATTGCTTGCGCTGAGAAGCAAGCATTTAATTTTAAATTCACGCGCTCCAGAGCAGGTGGCCTTCTCGTATAAGCAAATACTTGATAGGTTGTATAGCAGGTCGCCGAGCTACGGACGAGATACAGACAATAATAATACTAGGACGTTAAAATATGAACCTCGAAGAAACAACTCGATGTCACATTAAAATGCCGAGAAAAAGATTTTTACGGATTTATGTCATCATCATTATGACCATTACTGGTAACTATGAATGTTTAAATACATATTCTTGAAACTATTGCTGTGATCTAATATCGCAAATATGACATGTAGGTTATTCCGCGCTAATACAGTATTTGCAGTGAAGACTCCATTTTGAGTATACAAATTAACAGAACGAGAATGGACTCGGTGCAGATACTGATCTTATTGATTGGCGCAGAAGATTGCCAACATCAGTAGTATTGACAAGCAAATTCTGTCAGTTCTAATATACAAGACTACTACATAAAATACATACATGAAAATAATTCCCACTATTTTCCATACTCCAACTGCAGCTTGAACTAGTGTTTGCTACACGACAGTGAAACTATGGCTAGGTTTCTTCTATACTGGATAACTTTCCGTAGCGGCGCGAAAAAGCATCTATATCCGATACGGAATGTACAACTTTCTGACTTTCTCCGTTGCAACAATTCCTCTGAAAATAGCGTTCCTATAAAAGGTAGGGATAGGTGTTTTTTCACGTCGCTACGGAAAGCTACCACTCAGTGTAACAAGTGGCCTTATACCTTTACGATCGTATTAGTATTCGACTGTTCCTAGCAAGAGTTATGTTGACATTAACAGTCATTGTAAGCGGAGATTGTTTTGAAAACAAAGGACAGGTATCGAAACACACGAGTGATTTTATGCAATAAGTTTAACGAAGCAGAACTACCAGTCACATCTTAACGCATGACATCTCACATCTTGCTTTGTTTACAATGCCCTGCACTTTTTAATAACTACAGGAAAGAAAACACTCCCTTTTGTAAACGTTGGGGAAGTTTATGCGAATAAAACATAACACACACAAAATAAAAACATATCATATTAACAATTTTTTGCAGTGCTAGTTGTCACAAAAGCGAACTTTTCGATAAAACTCGCTTTCAAGAGGGTCTGAATGGGGTTAACTGACTACTTACATTTGCCTGAATTTTTGACTGACAACTGAGAAATTATGAAAAATGATGAGTCAGCTTTTTTGCAGTAACTGACTACTGACAGCTTGCAATATATCGCACTGACAACTGGCTTAAATTTTAGCTGACAACTGACACCCAAAGACCCCCATTAAGACCCTCTTTCAATCCCCATTGGCTCACGGCGCTCAAGAAACCGGAAGATGGAGGGCTCCAGTTCCACGATATTAGATTCTCTAGTCACAACATCGACTTTAACCGTTTCGGGAAACACGTCATGAGACAAAAATTCCCTAGGGGAAAAGGTATTTTTGAGAGGAGATTACTCCTAAGTGGCATTATTGCCCATGTGGTGCCAAGTGAATCCGTTATCGTGGAACCGGAGACAACCAATGTTGTTTTGTTCTTTACAGTGTCAAGGTTAATTTACCTCTTCATTAGATGTTCAGGAGAATTCTGTAATATATATTCTCTATTCGAAAATGCCACAATGAAATCTTCTTTTCCAATTTTTCCTTAGGATTTTTTACAGCCCTGCTGATGAAATGGCAGATGTTTAAAACAGTCAGAATCAATACTCTTGCCGAAAACCCAATGTCGTTGATTGTCAATGAAAAATACGATATAGGTCAGTTAAAGTAGAGCGCATGAGAGTGCGCGACGCGACCCAACACTTCATGTATTTTATTTAAGTCAAAACATAGTAGGAACACTCATATCTCAAACCTCTATTTTGTTAATCTAGAGCTTCAAATGTCCCCTGAAGGAAAAAAAACAAAGGATTATAAATTATCACGCAGAGGCCGCGGAAGCATTTCAAAAGTGAAGGGGTATTGGCCAAAAGGGGAACTTTTGTATATGACCGAAATCAAACGATTTTGTCAGAAAAAAGGGCACTTTTTTCACTTTTGAAAAAAGAAAAAGTGGGAGGGCACATGCTCCCATTGCCCCCCCCCCCC